CATGTCATAATTCCCTTATCTCAGCCTCCCAACTAGGACTCAAGCACATGCCACCATGGTTAGCTCTTTATTTTAGAGTCTCACTGTGTGGTTTCAAGAAGCTTCTAGCTTGCAATCCTCTTGCCTCAGCCTCCCAACTTGTTTGGATTACAGGTGTCCACCGCTGCACCCTGCCTTTTGGTTGAATTGGAATTGAACCCATGCCTCTCATGCAGCTTCCAGTCTCCCAAATGGTGGCAGTACCTGTATACCACTGGAGCTAGAGCTGAACTTTAATTAATTAATTATTACTATTTTAAGAAACAAGATCTCTTTTGCTCTGTTGCCCAGGCTGGCTTTGAACTCATGATCCTTCTGGCTCAGCCTCCCAAGTATCTGAGATTACAGGTGTGTACCATGATGGCCAGTTTGAATAATTTTTAAGTCAGATTGTCAGTGGTCATGTCTTTCTTCACAATATCATTCTCTGTGCCAATAGTTCCTCCAACAGTACTGCAGAAGGAATTCTCTTTTAAATTACCAACGAACATCCTGTACATTTAGATGTACTTTCCTATTTGCATAACTTAAAGTTTCATTTTCTTCAATTAAATTAAATAATTTGGTAAATTAAACAGCTTCTCTCTAAAGGCCACAGGAATTTTATGACAAATTGATGTTTTCACATCTTAACAGAAATTCTGAGTGATGCATAAATCAGTCAAACTAATTGCTTGTTTCTTCAAATTTTCTTTCATGTACCTGGGAATTTCTTCTGCCTCAGTTTTATGTGTGGCATGTGGTTAGCAGTCCTTGGAGTATGTCGCTAAACTTCACCTACTTGCAGGGTATTTTCCTTTCTTAGAGATTTTTGGTATAAGCATTTTGTGTTATTTTATTAACAATATGAGTTGCAGCAACTCCTTTAATGATCACTATTTAATTCAAAAATATGTAATTTGTATTCAGCTGTCTGCTTTCATGCTTTTTTGTGAACAACTGTTCATTTTAAGGAAAAACTGTAATTTTTAAGGCATTTTCAGCAACATCTAAACTCTACACTTGTACCAATTACACAAGTAACTCAAAGTGCTGTCAACATGAACACTTTTGATCAAGTTCATACATGCACATGCAAAAACAATGTCACACCTCCTACATAGGCAATTACAAGTATAATATATACTGGTTCCAATAGTTTGAAATTGTTTTTGCATGAAGTGTTAACCAATCCTTTTCTCTAACCACTGATCAAAAAAGGTGACACGGTACTTACACAAAAATTTAATGTAAAATTTTTCCTATACTTACACGTTTATGATAGAAGCAAACGAATCTTTTAGGCATTCCTTAAAATTAGGATATGTATTCATCACTTCTCCAGTCCCCAATGATTCTCTTCTTCCCACTACCAATTTCCTTAAAGTCAGTGATCTCATTATTCACTTACCAGTTCCAAAAACCTACTGAGTCATTCATGGCTCCTCCCACTTAACATTTTATATCACTGAGTCCTATCTATTTGATTTTCTAAAGATTTCTACATCTGTTCTGTATTCTCTGTATTCCTTCTATTGCCAGCCTGGTTCTGGCAATGGCTACAACCCTTTTGCTTCCCTGTATCCATTTTATTTTTCTCAAAGTCATGCTTCATAGAGCCCTTCTCTCTCAGCCTCCCAAGTAGCTGGGATTACAGGTGTGTATCACCGTGGCCAGCCTTAATCATTTGCTTATCTTATAGTTTCATTTTCTTCTTTGATTAAATAAAATGCTTCAGGAATTTAAATGGATTCTAAGGCCATGGGAATTTTATAACAAATTGATGAATGACGCCTTAATAGGAAAAGTATTTAAAAGTGCAAAGGAAATAGTTTCCTTACGTAAAAATCTTCAGTGGCTCCCATCTAAACACAAATGAGACTAAGAATACAGTCTGAGTTCAGAGGGCTTCATTTAGATTATTTTTTCTTACTGTGTTTATGGTCCTTTTGGGTACACATTTAACAAAATGGGTATACTTATAGATCTTACTGCATGGGTTGTTAAAGATTCAATAATTCTTATTTAATGTAAAACATTTAACATGGGACCTGGGCTGTAGTTACAAGGAAGTATTAATATTAGTTACTGCTACCAGAGTTGATATGGTTAATATTTGTTGTTGGCACTTGCCAAAATCAGATGTAACCTCCTTCTCTGGGCTATTTTGGGGACTTGTGAAATAAGCTTGAAATTTTAACAAACTTAGTCTCTTTGTTTTCTAAATATAGTATTTAAGTAATAATTAAAAAATATTCATTATAAAACTAGAAATGGAAAATTATTAATGATAACATGTATGATTAAGCTAGTATACCGCATATTCTGGATGGGAAATCACATTTTGTATGCTGTGATAATGCTCAGTGAATGAATGTAAATCAATTAATTAAAAAAAGGAATTAAAAAAAAGCAGCAAAAAAAAAAAGAAAACAAACTTTCCAATAGCTAAGATGACAGCCTTTTCCTTTTAGAATCAATAAAGTGTCCACATAAGGAATCAAAAAAAGTTTACGTTTTCAGCATTCTACTCGCGAGGTTTTTTGGGGTTTGAGTTTTTCTCTTCTTCTTTTTTTTTTTTTTGCCATATCCTGGCAAATCTGGCTTTTTCTACTCCCTTGGAGAGGCAAACCCACAAGAATTTGTCCATAACTGGATTTTGCTTCAAATTTCAAAGATGTCTATCTACTTTTGTCATCTTCCTTCAGGCAGGAATTTGTCACATTCGGTCAAAAATTCATTACTTTTTTGAAGCAGATTCAATGGTCAAGTTCTCCTTTAATATTTAAGGGAAACATTAAAGTGAAAACTGGCTCAATTTTGCAAAGATTTCTTACAGTAATTTAGTAGTACGTTATGCTGTGTTTGTTACATTATTTGTAAATTATCTTCCAAGAAAGATAGCACAGATTGTCTTTGTTCCTCAAGATTCACATACATAGCAATCACTAACTGTATGACAGTGTTAGAAAACTTCAAACCTGTAACAGAGATGCTAAGGCCCTCTAGGAACAAAACAGCATCTTGATGGAAAAATTTGGGGGTGATGAAAAATTTTGAAAATATGATAATGGTTGTACATTTGTATGAATATAATTAATGCCACCAAAGTGTACACTTAAAAATGGCTAAAGTAGGGGCCAGCAGATCAGGCCTGGCCATGGTACTTAACGAGGCTCGATTCCACATGGCCAACCACAAGATTCAAGTCCTGGGCTCAGCAGCTTGAAAAATACATTGGGCTCATGTATGCACATGTGCCCAAAATCCTGAAAGAGGGTGAAATAGAGAAAGGACTGCAACATGACTGTGCCCCATGGGGGATAATTTCTCGCTTTTTCTCTCTCTTTTTCTTCCTGGCAAGTATACATATCCTCTAGCAAATTCAAAAAATGGCTAGTCAACTGTATGTTAAACATACTTACTACAATAAATAAAAGTCATATACATACATATGTATACACTATAAACAGTAAATCTTTTAAAATTTTTGGATTCAATATAGAGTACAAATTTAGCAAGGCTATACACAAAACAGCTGATCACCTGGATCATTTAACAAGGACTCCAGAGAGCTGATTTTGGCTTGAAATGAGTCTCTAAGCTTAAACATTATAAGAGTGATTACACTGTCAACATACATTTTGATTATAACATAATTGGATAAACATTTTAAATCTGAACATAGTAACTACTCTTCCATATCTTTTCATAACACTACTGTATTTTCATGTATGTTTTTGGTCCCCAAAACAATGAAGTTATCCAAACCAATTATTTTTTGGTATCTGTTCCCATTTTACAAAGCAAATAGGCCCAGAGAAGATGCCTTGCCCTGGATCATCTTAACTAAAATGGACATAGGAGCTATCTTGAGTTCCAATGTAGTTCCACTGAATCATTCAAAATTTTTATTTTAAATAAGAGAGACAGACAGACAGATGGGGATAGGGTAGAAGATGGTATTTCTGACAGGGTCTTGCCTTTGTGATCATTTGCCCCAGCCTCCCTCCCAGTTGGTAGGATTACAGGCATGTGCTCCCATACCCAACCTCTCACAGCAGTGCCCTACCACTTGCACCACTGCAATTGGACCTAATTAGTTATTTAAGGAGCATCTACTGTGTACTAGGCATTGGGAATAAAGAACACTATGAACATGCTTTTTTCCACAGTTTACAGCCTAATAAAGGAGAGTTAGCCCCTACAATTGCCATGCAGTTTAAAAAGGTGGGGTAAGTACCAAAGACTTTGAGAACACTTCAGAGGGGCTATTTGAAACTATATAATACTCAGATACACTTGGTATCTGGCATAGCTTACACTTGTATAACTTCATGAGTAAAACCCAAATTTTCATCTCTAGAAACCTTTTAATTTCCAAAGACCTTAGCCTTCACTGCCCTAAGCTAGCCACTAATAGCTGGTATTTGCACACTGTAGGTTGAAAATCACTTAGCTCTGAAAAGAACATGTTTTACCTTAGCTGTGGAAAAAACTCATCATTCTTCCTTGATGGGTCTACTAACGTTATTTAAAGTTCTTAATGCATAGTAAATGCTGGGTTAAATGTTCAATTCATGAATAAAATCTCACAAAATCAAGCCTTCCTATTGAGTTGAGGCAGTCCAATCTGACCAGGATCAACATGCTTCTAAGGCAGTATTTTACTTCAGTGTGGACTTCCTGGTTACTGTAGTGTGGGCACTATTATTTGAGTTTTTAATTATCATTTACTAACTTAACATGATCTCCAAAAAACGGGGGTAAACTTTTCATATTTTATCTAAAACATGGAATCTCAAACTTCTGTATCTAAAACTTTTATGAGCTCAAACATGTTGATATATAGACCTTTGACGGCATAGATATTTATATTCAAAAAAGTCCTTTAAAGTGTGGAAATTTTTTATGGTTTTAGATCTTATTGGTATCATTCTTGAAGGACAACTAATTATTTGCTATTTAATCCCAATTTTCAGGTAAAGAAGATACTCCTTCATTACTTGGCCTCTGTGGGTCTCTAACATCAGTGGCAAGTTACAAGTCTTTAACAAGCCTAAAATCTAATGATTACCTTGCAAGTCCTACAGCAGAGATGACAAGTCCAGGCCTAACTCCGTCCTGAAAAATTTTATGTAAAGCCAAACATTTTTATGTTGTAAATGTTCAATTTACGTAAGTTTGACTGCTGGGAAGACCTCTGAACTTTTATACTGTTATGGTACATGTCTGAAATTCTGCTGCTTAAGAGAGTTCAGTCCAGTCCATATAAACTGAGTGAAAAACATAACAATCCTGCCATTTTTCATTTTAAAAAAATTCTTATATTTGTCATTGAGGAAGTTTAAAAATGAATAGACTAAAAAACTTTCAAAGGTCCTTCAAATTAATACTTCATTCCAAACTGTACATAATTATTTAGCTAATTTTTATATATTTGTTTAAATGTAATTTAGTGGCCAGAGACTGAGTTAAAGGTTTTATTACAGAGACTTATGCTAAGTTTTTTCTTTTACTTTTATTTGGTGATTAAATTTTTTAAATGTGACTTATTAATTTATTTCTGAGTTCTAATGTCCAAATGCCTTGTTTTTAAAATCAGGTGAAGGTTCTCAGTTATAGCTGCACAATGACTTACACAATTTTCTTTAACATTTATCATTTGGTATCAACTTGACATTCCACTTAACATTTTATAAATTTTATAGGAATGTGCCTTTGTAGGCAGTTACTGACTTAACTTTTAGGATCACAGGGGAAGTATTTTATATTTTAGGCTATTTAGATAAATGAATAAATTTATCTTTGTTTTCCCAAGATTAAAAGGTTATCAATTAAAAAATATGATCAAGTAAGCTTCAAAAGTTGGAAACATTTCAATATGTAGAAGGAATGTTGAAAAAGTATTTTATCAGGAGTGATTTCGAATTTAGTTAAGGATTTTCAAAGCTTTTAAACCAGGATTGGTAAAGATAATCATTGTACTTAACAATAAAAATGTTTGACAGTGCTGCTTTTCTCCTTTTGTGCAACAATGAACTGTGTATCCTGATTGTTTTACTGCCTCTATCACTAATTAATGCACAACCTCTATTTTTTTATTTTTTTTTTAATATTTGCCAGAAGGCATGGCACTTGCTAGAGAGAGACAGGGAAAGTGAGAACGTTTCCCCCAGTGGGGAGACAATCACACTACAATCCCTCTTCCTCCTTTTCTCTCTCCTTTGGGGCTTTTGCACATGCACACACATGGGCCTAGCATGTTTCTCAAACCTCTGGGTCCAGGACTCAAACCACACAGTGGGCAATGTGGGATCCAGCTACCTTAACCACCATGCCACTGGCTAGCCCCATAGTCTTATTTTAAAGCTGATGTTAATATTTAAAAATTGCTACACTTCTACAGCTAAATCAGCTTTCTTTTAAAAAAACATATACTGTCTATTTTAAATTTTTGCAATTTTTTAAACAGCGGTATTTGCCCCTAAAAATTCCACCATTCTGAAAAAGAAAATGTATGAATATATTTTCTATAGTAAGTAGTATGAGGAAAACATGATTAGTTGTGCCAAAGAAGTTTTAAATATTGTTTATGTGAGGCCACAGAACTTACTGGGGACTTAATATGGTATATTTGTTTATCAATAAAACATTATATTCAAGCTTAGTAGATTTGACATTCAGGAAGATTGTTCCTCCTAAAACAGTTTATTTTATTAAGAGGCAAGAAGACCTGACTTTGCCACATCCATTCTTTTTATTAGAAATGTAGGAGTGTGGTGGGTCTCTGTAATATTTAGAGCTTAGTCTCATAACTTGAAATTAAGTAAGTAGTAACAGGTCAGTCTCATATGTAAGACAGTCCAAACAATATCAGTTCAGAGACAAAGTAGGCCTGGAAGCCCTTAAGTTATCTTAGACATGCAAGGATATACTCCAAGCTTTATTCCTTTAGTTTAAAGCTTTAATACTTGTAGAAATGCAAATATTCCTGAGAAAAGGTACCTTTAATCTATTCTCAATTTTGTATAACTATTTTAAGGTATCCAAAGCAGTTGTTAATTAGTATGGGGAGAAGAAAGAAGATATAAAAGGAGGATAGTGGAAACATTAACAGGTAGAAGTGAGGAAATGGAGAAGAGTTCTGAAAATTTTAGGTTGGCCTCAAGCACTATGGCTTCTTTCCTAAGAACAATTAGAATGTTTAAATGTTTTATCATTCATGGTCCACTCTGAACTAACATTTATGATCTTTTCATAATTTTTTTAAAAATTGTTAATTTTTTCCATACATTTTTATAATATAGAAGAAAACTCGAGATTCCATAATGGATAAATTTTTTCAGATTTGTCTAATGTGTACAGTAAGTTGTGCATCTGAACATGCTGCTAAATACAGATTAAACATGACATCGAAGGATCATGACCTTTTCTCCTTTCTTGGAGCTCTTGATATATTCATCTGCTATTGTGAAATTCAGGTTTCTACACAATTCATTTCACACTAGTTAGAAGTATTCATTAATGTTTGCATGAGGAAACAATCTATGTCTCAATCATTTAATTTTAGGTGGTAATGTTTATTGTTCATCTCCCTCAAAGAATGCTGAATTATATGCCACTATTTCCATGTGTATTTTGTTTCCTTGATGTACTGTACTTGTCGCATGTATATTAAATATTTTATATCATGCATTTGTGGTTTTATTTTATCCTGGTTTGAGTTGTACAGAGAATTTTAATTTCAATGAATATGTAAATGTACATTATTTCACATGTAAAATACTATTATGAAAATGGATTTGGAAAAATTCTTATTTGACCTCATATCAAATTAAAACTTTTTTTTTTCTTTTCTATGGGGCATATGTGCTTGCCAAAGAGAGACAGAGAGAGGAAAAGTGAGAAATCGCTGCCATTTGGGGATGGCTACACCACAGTCCTTTCTCTTCCATTCTTCTCAGGATTTTGGACATGCATGCAAAATCACCTTGCATAATTTTCAAGCTGCCAGGTCCAGGACTCAAACCATGGAAGGCCATGTGGGAATCCATAGCCCTAACCATACCACTTGCTGGCCCCTAAAACGCTTTTCCAAAAACTAACATGATATGCTTTAGAATATGCAAAATCTACTGAAGCAATACCGTTTAGTATTGGTTCTGGGAGTGTTGCTGATGTAAATATATAATAACTATGTTCATTTGCTTATCTGTAAAATAGAGACAGTACCATTTTCTGAGCACCTCTGTGATAGCACCATATGGATGTCAGCATTAACTAAAATTATGTATAGTAAGCAGTGGCAAATGCCAAACATAATTATGATTGGCAAAAACCTTCAAAAAGCAAGTGAATTCAGTGGTTGTTTTATTAGATTTACATACAAGTTTTCAAACAATTATAAATGTGTCTCAAATTTACAGTTTATGAAAATCCTTTGTGAAAGTTCTTATCTTGGGTAAAGTGTCCAGATTTTGCTAAACTAACATGAATAGATTACTACTGAAGTGTAACAAAACTGCATGGAACCTCAGGGCTTCGAAAATGTTTAAATCAGTTCACTTGCTCTTCTGTAAACAAAGTAGCTTCTGTTTAACTTTAGTGTTTGTTCTATTTTTTTTCTTTATTGTTTTTTGCTTTAGGTCACTTGCACTAGCTAGAGAGACAGACAGACACAGTGAGAGGGAAAGTACAAAATAACCCCTCAGAGGTGATGGCTATGCCACAGTCCCTTCTCCTCCAGTCTCCTCCCGGGATCTTGGGTACACACTCATATGTGCCTAGTGTGATTTAAGTCACCAGGTCTGGGACTCAAACCTCAGGGTTAGGGTTGGCCATGTGGGAGTCCAACAAGGTAACCACTATGCCATCTGATGATGCCAGCATTTGTTCTTTTCAACTAATAGGAAAGATAAAATTATATTCCTGTCAGGACCAGCAGGTGGTATAGTGGTTAAGGCACTGGACTACCACATGGCCGGCTGTGGTTTGAATATAAGACCCAGCAGCTTAAAAATCACACTAGACAGGTGTGCATGTGTACCTAAAACCTGGAGAGAAGAGATTGCCGCGTGGCCTTCCCCTTAGGGGGTGATTTCTCACTTTCCCTCTCTGTATCCTTCTCTCCAGAGAGTGCACATGCCCTATGGCAAAAAAATTGTTTTCCTAAATTACACCCTTGTCTTGCTCACTTCAGCAGCATATATACTAAAATTACCTTTGTCTTTATGGTATTTTTAAAAATGTATCTTTTTTTTTTTTTTTTTTTTTTTTTAGGTTTTTGCTATAGGGCGCGTGCGCTCGCCAGAAAGACAGACAGAGACAGAAAGCGAGAAATCACCTCCCCAGGGGGGATGGCCATGCCGCAATCCCTTCTCCTCCATTCTCCTCTTAGAATCTTGGCACGCATGCACACATGCCCGGCGTGAGTTTAAGGCACTGGGTCCAGGACTCAAACTGCAGTCAACTATATGGGAGTCTGGTGACATAGTCATTACACTAACTGCTGGTCCCAAAAGTGTATCTTAATATAAACCAAACCCTCTAGTTTGTTTTAAATAGGTCACCTTAGGGGCCGGCAGATAGTATGATGGCTGAAGTGCTGGACTCCCATATGGCCGACCACAGTTCAAGTCCTGGACCTGGTAGCTTGCACTCTCACTTTCTTTCTATCTCTGTGTGTGTCTGTCTGTCTGTCTCTGGTGAGAGCATGTGCTCTATAGCAAAATTTAAAAATAATAATAAATAAAATTAAATAATTATTTAAAAAATAAATAGGTCACCTTATTATAAGTCCTGTTTTCCATATTGCTAGTTATCTTTCCAAAACCCAAGTCTCCTAGATGTGTGTCAAATATTCTTCCTTGGTTTTCTACTGTCATCTTGTTTACCACTGGGACACAAGGCCTATGTATATTTATTTCCCTCTCATCTACCACAATTCTCATGTATATATGAACTCAAGCTCAAACCACATGCACTAAATTCCATTGCTTTATTGAGATGCCTACCTTTCTGCAAGTTTAACTGGACTATCTATCAATCCTAATCTTGGATTTCCTGACCACTCCTTCTCCGCCCTCAGGCTGAGTGAAGAACTCCACAGATTTCCCATAGCTTCCTTTACATACTTCTATCAACCAAGGCTCTGGAACCTCGGATCAATAACAATATCCGAAATGTCTTATCTCTAGTGTTTTTTTTTTTTTAATACTGCCTACCAAACAAACGGTCTCAATAAATGTTGATAGATTGAAAATAAAAAAAGCAATCATCTTTTATTTAAAAATTCATTTTGGAAAAAAATTCAAAAGCAATAAAGCACATCACTAAAATCTGTGTCCAGGAGAAAGGGAAAGAACAATTTAAGAGTCACATGTAATTAAATAAGCATAGTGAACTATTTTCTTAAGAAAAAATGTTATTTTAACTTCAT